TTCTCCTAACCAAATGGACAAAAGAGAGAAAGGGAGGGATGGGCAGAAAACTGTAGCATAGACGGTTCTGAGTGGTGGGGTTTGGGGTGGGGTTAATGGAAATCAATTGAAATTTGGTTATGTTCCGCTAAAAGAAGCTTATTTCACCCCTTCCACTCACCACGTGGATTTATTCCCATTTGTGTTTTTTCATCCTCCTTGGTTTGAACCAATTTTTGAAACTGACTCCGTTTGGATAGTTGTTCACTAGCTGCCCTTCTGTCTGGGTATGGCCGCCCCATGCATTTCCGTAAGTCTGAGCCTGGTTTGTGTAACCTTGGTTTGGGTAGCCTAACAGCCTGAACGGATTGGACCTGTACTTGGCTGGCAGGAAAGGTTGGTACTGGCCATAAAGTCCTCCGTTGTTTGGTGTTCCGAAGAATCCAGCTCCTGTTCTGTGGCTCATCCCTGGACCTTGTGTGTTTTGTCCCGGCCAGTAGTTACCTCTTGGCTTCTTTCCTCTCCCGCGCCATCCATTTCTGCCTCAGTCACTGCTCCTCTCCCGCTCTGGCCTCCCGACGCAAATTGCCATTTTTCAAACCCTGTTATCATTGGGGACGCAGTCAGTTGTACCGTTAGGGCTGATAGCACCTTCTGTCCTGCAGCGTACGGGTTCTCCATAAAGCTCCTCTTGCCAAGTGATTCCGCCTTATCTTTTGCAGCCCTTAGGATGTCTTCGTGCAATACTCCTGCTTGGCACATCTCCCTTTTCCCCAACTCTCCTATCCGCATTTGCATGACTAGGCGCCTCACCTTCATGCAATACCTTAACACAATCATCCAACAGGGAGTCAACCTCCTGATTTGGATCACGTTTTTCTTGTGCTCTCTTAGCATCTCTGTGCATGTCTTCATGTGGTAATGTTTGTCTACATATCTTATGAACAAGTCTATTGCGTCTATGCACTCTCCGTAAGTTAATAGGAGCTCTTCTTTTGGTGTAATTCCGTATATGTTACTGATTCATCTTCTTGTAACTCCTTCAAGGACTTTGTCTTCTTTGTACTTGCTTTTTGCGAGTCAAGATCAATCCATTCCATGTTGAAGACCGTCAACAGAACTTAACTCGTCAACTTTGTCATATGTTTGTGGATCCCGTTTGATAACTGGAGCAGATTCGAGTTCAAAAACTGCTTGTCCACAAAGACTATCTCATTCTTTGGGCCCACCAGATCCTGCACCTCTTGCTCTTTCCGCTTGGGTTTTTCTAGCTTCAGTGGCTCCTCCGCCTTCTCTCTTTCACCGCTCAAATCTTCTGGGTCACTACCCCCGGCTATTAACAAAGCCGTCCTCTGGCGCTTTGCCCTTTTGACCAATGACATTGGTTGTTGTTCATATTTTGGGATCTTCGCCTCTCTTAGGTCTTCAAGGTCATACGGAACCACCCCATACACCATCTTGTATGCTTTCAGCATTGCTCTACTAACTTCTATCTCATCTTCTGTGTAGGCTTCTACAGTTGATTTCCACCACAAGTCTCTGGCTGGATCTCCTGAGCTCTTTGGCTGACTTGCTACAAAAGCATTTTGTAGTTACACGAGAACAATTTCAATGTATTAGTTTTGTGAATCCAACCCTCCGCGTGGGGATTTGTATGAAAGGGGGCTTCCAACACTCTTGGTCAGATATAGCTGTGCCTGCCTTGGTATCCAGGTCAACCCCAATGTGAACAACTAGGTTTCATCCTTATGCATCTTTTCTATGTCTTTGGTCAGATTTAGCTCTGCCTGCCTCAGTCTGAACGGTAAGTCTGTCTTAATCCGTTGATCTGGAGGGATATATATTGATCTGAGGGGATTCTTATGTTCAACTACCAGGATATAGCTCCTGCCTCCTCAACCTTAATGGTTGGTGCCCTTGGTTCCCCATAGGGGCTGACCCCAATTAGAATAGGATGGTATGGAATATGATGATAACGGGTTGGAAATTGAGGGATAGGCTTGAGATAAGAATGAGGAAGCATGTGGTTCTTACGATTTATTTGAATCCTTAGTCTATCTCTTGGCTCTGTTGCTTGTCCTACCTGCGGCGGTCCAGTCCCTCCCCCCTTTCCTTATTATCTGATTCCCTTGCTACAAGCATATTCTTCCCTCTCTACCCAACTTCCCATGAGCTCATGGAACTCCGCGCCAAGTCTTGCCTTGGTTGGTGCTCACACTCAGATGTGAGTAGAGGGAGAAACCAATTGAAAATCAAAACAATGGAGTTAAAATACGCACCTTTGAACTCCCAACAAACCAGGAGGAGGTTGAAAGACAAAGAGCTTGACTGGTCAGTATTCAAGGATTTAAAATGAACACCTCCATGTAGCGGGGGACGCAGATTTCAGGGACTTATGTAGAGAGTGACATGCATGGAGGTTGGTCAAAACCCTGGACAAAACAATACATGTCACATTCCATAATCCGTGAATGGGACACTTATTGTGTCCTCTTGGTCAACCACCAGATAAGGGTGGTTAAAAAAGTCTTGAATGTTGCACATCTTACTCAATTTGAGTATTCATTGAGTGAGATAATTTGATGAGTTATTTCCAAAGTGAATACAAGTGGTAATAAGCTCACCTTACAAGACTATAATGACTGGATGGTGTGGTTGCATCCGGCGTAAAGTCACTTTCCATATTACTATGGCCGCCAAAATACCATAAGTTGTTCATTATAGCCCGCAACTAGAAGGTCAAATAATCAAATCAATTTGTAGAGTGATCCAAGAGTGATCCCAGAGTGATCCAAAGTGGAGTGCCTTGACATAGTGATTTGCAAAAGACTCACTTCTGGATGGTTACATCCCCCAAATGTAACCATCCTTAGGGAGGGGAAAGTGACTGAAACACAATATCTCAGTCAAATTGGGTCCAAAGTGTATGCTATAGTTTCATGAGTTAGTAGTCCAAAGCTGAATTAAAGTGGATTTTATTAAGCACAACATTTTTGATATCCATGATGCCATGGATATCAAGGTTGTGAAGCCCTGAAAATCACTATAAGTCGGTCATTGTTTGGCCCACCTAGAAGGTCCAATAATAACCAACTTTTGGAGAGTAATGAAAAGTAGAGTATGGATTTGTAGGGTATATAAAAGAGCAGTTTTGTAAGAAAAAATTATACCAAAAACCCACATCTGGATGGTTACATCTCCAAAATTGTGGTATTTGGCAGGTGGTGAAGGTGACAAAACCACCATATCTCACTCAATATTAGTCCCCTGAAAAAGTTTTGTCAATAAAAGTGGCTGGTATTTTGATTTAATTTTCCATTTAACATAAAAATTCATCCATAAAATGGCATCTTGACATGTCTTTGTACATTTTAATATTTTGCTAATTTTCTGCTGAATGTGAGAAAATCACCATATCTCACTCAATATTGGTCCCATGATGAAGTTTTAATAATGAATGTGGCTGGAAATTCAATTTCACTTTCAATTCAATATAACACTTCAACCATAAAGTGCCATGTTGACACACCTTTGTACAAATTCATTTTTTCTTCCATTTTTACTATGCCTGTATCTTGGCGGTTTTGGGTATTTTGGATTTGGTTGCAGTTCCATTCATTCCTAACCCTTTTTTATGTGGGGTTTATTGATGAAGTTTGACCAAAAAGTGACTTTGAAATTTCTTCAAGAATTTCAGTCTTTGAAGCGCATGTTTGTGCTTCCAAGGTCAAGTGCAACCCCATAAGACACTCGATTCATGAGAATTTTGGGTAAGGGAGTTTAAAGCATCAATTCATATTCATTTGGAGGGAATTGGTGACCAATACCATTAAGGAATAACCATTTGCAACCATGATCCACTGAGATATAAGAAATTGTTTGCTTTTAGTGATGTTGGGGGTTAGGGGTTTACATTTAGCTCATAGCCATGAACACAACCAACATGGACATTTTAGACAAAAGTTTCCTTATAGATCCACCATGAAATTATCTTCTGCAGGAGTTCCTATGAATCAAAAAGCCTGATTTCAAACAACATGAGGGAGATGTGTAATATTTCTGACATCATATTCATACTTATGGTACTCAGTCAAGCATGGAACACTATCATTCACCTCGCTTCACCCTGAAGATGTGGACTGATGCCCCAATATTGGTCCGGTGCTGATTTCATGCTTGATTAAGCACTTGCACAAAAGTTATTATTGGTTTTGTGAGATAACTTTGGTTTTGCAGTCTGATTTGACAACATCTTTAATGAACATTGTGACTGTGTAAGGTACAATTGTTATTAATAATGTGGCACGAATGTCATTACTGGGATTGTGTGATAACTTTGGCTTCTCTTGGTCCACTACCAAATTTCATTAACCTTGAAGGTGTTTAATATAATGAACATTGTGAGTGTGCAGGGTACAATTGTTACAGAAGATGGTGTGTGACAACTCTTCATCTTCGGGACCCAAACACACCCCACCTCAAATTGTCACCTCTCAAGTATTACATGTGTTTATTAAACACCATTGAATAACCAAGTGATTCACTGTGTAATAAGTGCTTCTTCCCCCTCAAACATCCCGCATCACAGGCCAACTTTTGCAATCAAGAGGAAAATTTTGTCCAACATAATGATGATAGAATGTTCATCATGTGAGTACTTAACATGCAAGGATGATATGGGGTCTCATGAACACTTTTTTGGTCGCAGACTGCAGTGAAAATGATATTTTCAGACAAACATTACCCAAGTGTGTAAAATTCAATGTAGTAATGTATTTCACTGTGGTGAAGTACATCACTCATGTGTGTCAAGAACCATGTAGAAAAGTTTATTCACATGTGGTGAAATACATTTCCCATATGAGTAAACTTTAATGTAGAGGCAATTGTGAACTATGTGTGACCCAACCCAAGCACTTTTGGTCAAGGTGATGATATTCTTTCTACTGTGGCAAAATGCAAAAACATATGTTGACGCAAAATACAAAAATAAGTATCTATGAGACAATCCTGCTGCAAACTCATGAGATCAAAAGTCCAAAAAAGTCTCTATCCAGCTCATTTTCAATTTCTTCTTCCATCTGGGGGAACTCCTCCTCATCACCTGAGTCGGGTTCCCAAAATATGGGAACCGGCTGGATATCTGCCCAAGTGCAGTTGGTGCGGACAACCATCTCTGGCCATTGTACCACAAGGATTCTATCGAAATCAGCACTTTGATGTACATATTTCAATGTAGATTTCAAGGCGTCTAATAGGCCACAATTCCATTGCCTCCATGGGCGACAAGCTGTCTTTGTCAAACCAGTGTATATAGAATTCCACTCCGCCGCACGTACATCTGATTATATTAGAATGAAGGGAGTTGGAGTAAGGCAAGGATTTGATGTAGATTAGTAAATCTTTCTACAGTAGTTCACCATTAGCTAGATTAGGCCTTGCTGCATCTATGCGGCCTTGATAGTCCAGGGCCCATAGCATTAGCTGCCTAACTTTGCGTCCCAAACGCCGCAGCTCCTCTTCACAAGACCTCTGGCTTACAAATGCAATGATATCATCTCTAGTGCTCTTGCAACTAGACCAGGGTTTTCCCGGATGATTCAGTGCTATCTCATATAAAAATGGATCTAGTATATCCATCTCCAGCACTTTGTCAAAGGTGGGCTCACAGAGACGCTGTGCCGGTTTGAATTGAATATTGTATTTTGCTGCATTTCTCAAGTAATCCTTGTTTTTTTTGTTAGGATAGCGGTCTTCTTCTTGCGTAATCGCTCATTTTGCGGCTGTTGAGTGGCACCTGACGTTATCAACAGGGTCAGTAGGCTCAATCACATTCAAGACATGCTGATAACATACTGGTGCGAGTAAAAGTGTTAGCCGGTTGTTGGACCACATCAAACTTTGCCTCGTGGAGGAAACCCATTGACACCTGAACGGTGAGAAGTGCCTTAATTTGATTGTCTATAAGTAACTTTGTAGATTGATTTCAATGTAAGTCTGGTAAGAAGTCATATGATTGTTACACCTCCACCTTGCTGAGCGTTTACCAGTTCTTTGTTTCCCAATCCTGCAGCAAGTTCTCGCACCTTTTGCTTCCAGGTTTGCTAGAGATCTAGGTAGGTTGAGAAGCTCATTTCAATGCTCAGCCGTTGTGGAGAGCAAAATGCATTCCATCTTTGCTCTCTTTTATCTCAATCAAGGCATAGATTTTTTTTAGTTGTTTACTCACATCCATCCGAGTGCAAGCTGGTTTATCTCAAGGTTCATTAGGTTCACAAATTGAACATATAGTGCTGCTGCATTTATTAACGATTGCAAATTCTTATAGTTAGTTCAAAGAAATCACATGATATATAAATTACATGTTTTAGTTATTATAAAGTCAGTTGAGTGAAATTGAAAGTTGGAGAGAAAAAACAAATAAAGTAATATAAGAAACTATGGAGTATCATACTAGAATTAGACAAGGATCTTATTTCTACCACACATTCAGATTCGAGAGCGACTGGAGGAAAATTTTAAGATGGACAAGGGATGTGAGAAGAATAAAACAAAGCTAAAATTTGAATAGGATTGACACTGAAGCAGTCAAGCACGAGGAGGTGAAAAGAATCAAGTAGTATCAGTATTTTATAACAGAAAACAAAAGTAAGAAAAAAGCACATACTGCTAACTGAACCACAAGTGGACCGAGAAGATCAAGATAAAAGGGGAGGATACAGCTGTGAGATGGAGATCAAACAATCGGTAAATAGAAAGGGTGCTGAGGCAGAAAAATAAATAAATCAAATGGATGAGAGTCAGTAAAAGTTTAAAGAAGAGGTCAGATCAAGAGAAGAACTTACGCTTAAAAGTTAACAGTCGAAATAGATGTAGTGATCAATCAAGAAAGAGTATTGAAATTGGGGTTCATGAGGATTGATTAAAATCAAAACTAAGAGATTGAATCAAGTGAAAAGATCTCAGTAAATTAGCAAAGCGTTAAAAGGTAGATCATAGCAGAGAAGAGAGAATAGACTCACAAGTTATGGGAAGCCAAGAGTAGGTGTGATTGATGGATTCAAAAGAAAGAGGTGCTGGGGATAGAAGCTTAGAGTTGAGATTGAGATAGATTAAAATTGAACGAGGTGGAGTGGATCAAGGCGGTAGAAAAAAAAGGGTGGAGAATTGTTGTGCTGGAGATCTATTGATCAGAATCCTACAATTGAAAAGCTAGATCGAGAAGAGGTTGAAGTGAGGTGATTGAGATAGAAACAGTACTCAGGCGTGGAAAGGAAAGGAATCAAGACAGTTAGCAGACAATAAGAAAAGGATGAGCAAGAAAGAATGGGGTACTTACTTGAATAAAACAAAACTAAATCAACAGTCAAACGGGAATCCGGTGATGTCGTGATTTGAGCAGAACCGAGTCCGATCGGAGTAAAAGATGAGGCAAAGTGATGAAGAAAAGGAGGGAGTTGTGGGTCTTGTTTGTGTTTGTTCAAGGAGGAGTTTTTCTTTTTTTTGTGATTCATCTAGAAATACAAAAAGGGAATATCTCGACCGAAGGATTGTACATTCATTCAGGTAAGCGTAAATTATGTTGCGTTCATTATCAGTTTCCAACCCAGGGGACCGGTCTCATTTCATCCTCGAGCTTTCCTAGCCTGAATCATAACATAGGCACATGTCACTAAGCTGCTGAATGCGTCATCATACCTTGAATGTATTCCTTCAACCAATGTTGTTTGAAGATTCAATAGTTGACGGCGAACATATCTTTATAAGCTCCCCTCCAGTTACTACGGAATGCGAGACGTTCCAAAGTGACAATGCGAAATTTCAAAAAACGAAAATCACAATCCCCGGGTGCGAAATTCAAAAATCAAAGACAAAACTACAGAAAATACTCAAATACAGGGATAAAACCCCTGTACCGGAGTAAAAGTCATGGCAAAAACCCCTTTTTGCCCAATTTTCCAGTGGTCGACACCGTTTTCATTGCATTGTCACCTTTTGACAAAAAGTACCAGCAACACCAAAAACCAAAAAATCAAAAAACCAAAAATCAAAAAATACATTTCTCAAACTTTACAATTCAAACACCAAAGTTAGATCCTACTGCAGTCAAAAACCACATGTTGGCCAACTAGCTACAAGCTCGGTCTCACAGGTATCAACACCTCCGACCAGAGACATTCTACCATCAGTCTCAAGAGCTTCAAAGTACCTGCTTACTGTCTTGCTCTCCTCCAAAACCTCTTTCATCATCATCAATCCTCTTTGATTGTCCTTGATCTTCTTATTTCTTTGTCATCCATCCTCGATCTTCCTCAATCTTTGTCATCCGTCCTCAGTCTTCTTATTTCTTTGTCAACCGTCCTTGATCCTCCTCAATCTTTGTCACCCGTCCTCGACCTTCTTCTTTCTTCGTCAACCGTCCTTGATCTTCCTCAATCTTCGTCACCCGTCCTCGATCTTCTTCTTTCTCCGTCAACCATCCTCGATCTTCCTCAATCTTCGTCAACCGTCCTTGATCTTCCTCAATCTTTGTCAACCATCCTCGATCTTCTTCTTTCTTCTTCAATCTTTGACAACCGTCCTCAATCTTCTTCAATCTTTGTCAACCGTCCTCAACCTTCTTCTTTCTTCGTCGACTGTCCTTGATCTTCCTCAATCTTCGTCAACTGTCCTCAATCTTCTTAGACCATCCTTGATCTTCTTTGATTATCCTGAATATTCTTCGACCACCCTCAATCTTCTGCAATCCTCATCCAAACACCTTCAATCTCCATCACCAACTACACACCAACATGCCAGCAAAAATATCTGATGAAATCTTGCGACCGCTTTTGGAAGAAGCTGTGGCTAACAACTGGCCAGCACAAACAGTATGCGACACTGTTTGGCAACGGCACAACATCTGAGTATGTGTAAGAACTGTTAGAAGACGGATCAAAGAATGGGACTTGAAACAACAAGGAAATTATGATGTGGAGGTTGTAAAGGATGCAGTATTAGATAATTACAAACAATCTCTGAACCAAAAGCGAGCTCTCATTGCCCTCAAAAACGAACACAACATCATCATCAGCCGGTCAACTTTAGCTCGAGTTGAGAAGCAACTCAATCTTCACCGCCAAAAGGATGATCTTGACATGGGTGTAGTAACATATGCCACCGTATGTAGCAAGATTGAAGAACTTCAGATTGAATATGGAAATGTACTTGGAATCAAGAGTATCAAGAAGATGCTAGCTCAGGAACACGAGCTTCACATCCACCGGCAAGTGTTTGGGCCTTCTTGATTCCATTTGCTCTGATGCTAATTACATTTGAAATCCTCTGTGATATAGTGATGTTATTGCGGCTATGATGAAGGTAATGGACCCAGATGCTGTCAGAATGAGAGCTGCTCATAAACTCAAGCGACGGGAATACTATGCGGGCGGTCCCAATGAGGTTTGGGCGGCCGATGGACACGACAAGTTGATCAACTTTGGAATCGGTATATATGGATTCATTGATTGCTGGTCTCAAAAGATTTTGGGACTTCATGCTCATGTCACCAACAGCGACCCCCGCCATGTTGACTTGTGGTATCTGGGCCTTGTCAAGAAACAAGGTGGCATTCCCAAAAAGCTCACCACGGATTGAGGAACTGAGACTGTTCCTCTTGCTGGACATCAACTTTATTTTGGAGAAACTTACGGTTCCAGAGCTCCAGACTGGCCTTATCATCAATATGTCCCGTCCCCTCGTAACCAAAAGATTGAGTGCTTCTGGGACAAAATGACTTGTGGACTGACTGGAAATATCAAAGCTAAAATTCAAGAGCGCATTGATCAAGATTTATATAATGACAATGATCCAATGTCTAGGTGAAGCTCCTTTTTTTTTACTTGGTGATTCCATGCTGAAATCTTTGTTATTGCTTTTCAGGACCTTGTTTCTCCACCTATTTATCCCCGTCTTTCAACGAGCTCTGGACAAATGGGTCAAGTTTTACAATGGTTTCTGCAGACGACACAACAAGCGGTCGAAATTACCTACTGGATGTTCTGCAGACTACTGCTACAAAAACCCCGTTGACGAATTTGGTTGCATTGATTACCTCATACCTGTCCCAGGTGAAGCGGTGGATGCTATCCTTGCTGATGATTACCCGGAGCAAGAACACTTGTGGAGCACAACCCCTGAGTGGTTTTCCCCGGTGGTTGATCAAGTCATGGAAGAGGTTGGAATTGTGAGCGGGGATTTGGACATTGGAAATTTTTGGGGTTCTTTTGATGTTGTATTAGCAAGATTGAAAGATTTGTCTTGGAGTAACACTCCCTTTGCCCGTGTTGAAGGTGATGATTCTATGGTTTTGGAAAACTGAGTACTTTATTTTGCTATTACCTGCATCTCTGTGTGTGGTAAACTTTGTAGTGGTCAATGGTATTGATTGTTGTGAGCAAAGTAATCACACTACGAGATACAATACTCTAAAAGTAATCACACTACGAGATACAATACTCTTGTTTTCGGAAGAAGAAAAAAAAGGACAGAAGAGAATTTTTTCAAGGATAAAAGCCACTTGTGGTCGGTTTGAAACACAAATTCTACATATATTTTTGGATGGAACCCTCCATCATCTAGACATATTCTGCATAGCATGCATTCACATTGCCTATATCATCCATGACATCCATCGTGTCCCCAGGTTGGAGGTAATCTTTAAGTTGATCCTTTGGAACTGACAATGTAATTATTTTTCTAGCCAGAGATGCTTTTTTCTTCTGTACCTGAGGGGTATAAAATGTTTTTGCAGATGATGGTGAGTGTAGCCCTTTCTGGAAGCTGATTACTTGACTCACATTGAATAGGTGCTGTTCAACAGATTGCCCTGCAACCACATGATACACCTTCACGGGGTGAGTCTGCCCTATTCGATGTAGACGGTCAATTGCCTGTTGCACAATCTGTGGATTCCAATGGGCATCCTAATGATATTACTTTTAGCTAATATTGACCACTGCATACATATGAACGAATGATAACAAACACACCATCAGATAGACCTCGTCAGCGCAGGTCATATTCAAGCCCACACCTCCAGCTTCAATAGATACTATAAAGGCCTCAATGTTGTTATCGTTCTTGAATCTGTTGAGTTGGCATGTCCTCTCATGAGTTGTCATGTCACCGTGCAAGGTGCCGCTGCCAATGCCGTGACAATCCAAAGCAATCTTGATCCTGTGGGGTGTGCAGGTTAGCTTACAGGCCAAGTGATATAACAGAGACATAAAATATAATTACCACTCCATGAAACACCTCCATTGGGTATAGATAACAGTCTTCTTGCATAGACCTTTATGCAAAGTTCTATGCTTCTTTTTGAGCTGGGAAACCAAGTATGCAAGCTTGCTACTCAGTGACCAGTCCTCCAGGTAGGCTGGCCTGGCATCAGCAGTCAGTGCCCTCCCATCCGGCACCATGATTCCAAGCTCCTCCTCCATCTCCGTAATCTTGGTCTGATTGAGCTCTTGTTCTTGCTTGAATAAAAGAGGGTGATTGCATGTCATCCTGAGATTCATCAATTGTCTGAAATATTCACCCTGTTTATGTTGGATTTGAGATTCCACACCAAAGTCCTGAAGAAATCTTTCATAATGTTGCTGATATATTGCTTTCACTTTTTGATGCATTTCCAATAAAATGGTCTCATGGTATATTGGAGGTAAATTGGATAGGTGGCTTGATTTGGTCCGCCTAAGCATGAAGTATCTTAGAAGCTGGCTGAGTGTGTCCAAATTTCCTTGATGAACCGGCAGAGTGATTTGACGGTACCATACTGAGTCTTCTTGAAAAGGTTTGATGTGCAGAAATTTGAAGAGCATGTGCAAGTCGCCAATTCTGTTATGGAGCGGAGTACCAGTGAGACAGAGCCGGTTGACTGATTCCAAAGAGGTGAGGACTGCATGGGAGGCGGTTTCATTACGAATTACACTGGCACCAGTAAAGGGTCAGTTTGGTCACAGACCTTTGGTTGCAAAGAGAGAATACTCACTGAGCTTCATCAATGACCACCCTGTACCATCTGGTTGTAAAAGGAACCCGGGTTGATCCACCAAGCCGTTGGTCATACATAAGTGTTTTTGGGGTTGTAATGACAATGTCGGCTGAGTGGATATCACGTAGAGGTATTTTGAATCTGTCGGTGCCATGCCAGCGCAAGACTTTCAAGCTGTTTTTTCTAGTGTGTTTTCCAACCTCCTCTTCCCAGTTGTCCATGAGGCTAGTAGGACATATCAAAAGAGTGGTGTGAGAAGCTCGCAGCTGAGTGTCTAGAGGGTTGACGGCTGATGCTGAATGCTGATGTTCGTATTGTCTTGACGCATCCAGTGTTGTAGCAATTAAAGAAATAGTTTGAATTGTTTTTCCAAGCCCCATGTCATCAGCTAGAATTGATGCCCTAGGGCTGACTGGTCCGGTTTGTTCCTCAGTGACAAT